CCTGTCTCTTGCAAATAGTGAGGAGATATTCAACATAGGCTTGCTCCACCCAGTTCCCACCATGTCTTAGTTTTCATGGAAATGGAGGAAGCTTTTCGTGACCGAAAAGCTACAAGATTGATGAGCGACATATATATCACTGTAAAGCTCACAACAAGGGAAATCGACGTAGGAAGTCTTATGGCTGTGCTGATCGATGGGATGTGAAGTTTACCTTGTAACCAGGGCCCGGCACGCGTTGGTTTGGTGCATTTTCGGAAACGAAGTCCCCCATGGATTCGCGAAGATTTACGAAGTTCTTTTTGACGTAAAAGTCAGTGGAGAAACCCTTGATCAATCAACATAACAAAGTATAACGATAAAAAAGCGAATAAAGCGAATTTTGATTTACCCAATATAACAAAAAAGCAAAAAAACATTCTGAGTCGTTTCAATTCTTGAGTGTGGTATCATTTTAGTGTTCAGAACGTTGAAAACCTCTTAGGCCTTTCAAATCTGTGACCTCAACAATCTGGCGATGCATTTTTCGCCACATAGTTCAAAGAACACCGCATGTGATTGGAGCGCGATAATCAATGCTTTGGTTTACACTTTTTTGGCTCAAAAAAGGGGATAAGCAGTGGTGTGATTCGTGTATTAATTAGTGGTTGGATACCACTTGTTAGCCACAACCACAAAGATTATCTGCCACCGGGTCTTGAGCGGTTGGACACGAACACACCTCAAACTTGGGTAATTAAACTTTCTGGCAACAAAATAACAACAATAAACACGATTGAACAGATAACAAATTGAGATCTAAACTCAAAATATAATGAATTCAGAGAAGGCAAAAGCAATGATTAAGACTAATGTAGACGTAAGTGGTAAAGGCTGTACAAACGACTAACTTGACTGTGCACCGCCAGCTGTTTATATGCATGAAACCAAATTCTAGGCACAGCTGTGCATGAATTCACAGATACACTAAAGAAATGGTGGAAATCATATCTGATGCTAACATCTGCACATTCCTACGATAGCAAAAACAGTGCAAGCTACCAAATTCATCTTTGCTACACATGACAAAGAATTACTGAACCACACCACAGATGCAAATAACCGGTGCATTTTGGGGCAGAGAAGAATAATACGTGCGAAATTCATATAATTCGCTCTCTACGCTATAATAGATTTTGGAGCGTTCTCTTCGTCCAGATCAAAAAGGTCCAAAATTTGTGTGAACTCTCCGATATTTATGCTCCGAGCCAACCCAGTTGGTTTGGTGTTGGTCTAGAAACCGACAAATTCGGAAACGAGTATTAAGACTCGAAGCTTTTTACATAATGTTGTCTGGTATTGTGTATATATATAGCCCAAATTCGGCGTCATTTATTGTTTGTGCGCTAGTAAACAAGCCATCTGCTTGTTTGGGTCCTACGTTTGAAACTCGCGCGCTTGCCAAAGAACACTTCAACTCGTAAAACCTGAGATGTTTGTCGTTTTTTTTGGTGTATCGCCCAGGACCTTATAAAAACGATATCTCCGTTGCTTCTAACCTCAAAAAAGAAGTCCAGTTTGACCCCGAACCATCTGTGCCGGGCCCTGCTTGTAACTCTTCCTGAAAGTTTTGATATTTCAATTTTGGTTTTTTTTTTGAACCTCGGGAATAGCAGTCCTAGAGAAACTTTATGCAACTAAATTGAATTTGCTTGGTGCAGCCATTGTTTTGTTGCCCCTTTCCTTCTTTTTTTTCGTCAGGAACCTCTAAAAGCTCATCAGATGGGAACTTGGCAAGGATAAGCTTTGCTACTTGTGGGCTGATTAGACCAGTGGAGCTAGATTTAAGGGTCATCCACATCAAACGGATTTTATGTCGAACGGAAAACGAAGTTTGATGATGCTTGCTTCTCAGTCTGAGTGCTGAGGGTTTTCTCACTAGACATAAGCGACTGGAAAGATGTGTCACATCGTATCTTGTCTTATAAAGCTAAGTATCTATTATTTTTTCGATGAACAAGGGGTGCTTGGTTGCTTACATTGAAAAGCAGCGGGGAAGCCTTGTTTAGTGAATATTGCGGAAGTCAGGAGGCTATGCTAGACAAAGTGTTTTGGTTGGCAAGACATTTTAGAGTGCATTCAAAATTCACAGCTTTTCTATAGAAAATGTATAATTTTATACCAAAGACGGGCAAACAACTTCCAGAAATAATCCGGGTGTTTTTTGTGATGATAATTTCAAATTACAACTGAGTTTGTAGTACTATCTCCGTATCTCTTTCTACGACCATTGCACAAATATGCTGCTGCACATTATCAAAACGAGCTAGTTTAAGAAGCTCGCTAATTTTTTGAGACTGTTTGATACAAATGAACAAAATGCGCATTTCTGGAAAAGAATACAGTTTTCTTTTAACTCATTTAATAGATGGAGACGTTCACTTTCAAATTATTTTGTCTGTTCATTCTGGTGACACAATATATTCTTGCGATCAACCTTATCTCAATTCCAATCACTTATTGTTATTGTGAGTCATTTCTGACATCAGCTTTGATTCATAAACACATAGCATTTTTGCATAAATCAAAATTAATCATGCGAGAAATGATACTAGACGGAACAAGCCGGCTATCTTCTATTTGCTTGCTTTGCTGATGCAGAATTTCATTAAAAATTTGGCACATGCGGTGAAGTTGCAAAATTGTGAAAACGAAAATCGAAAACTGAATTTATACAGAGGATTGGCTTAAAAGGCTGCTTAATTCTAAAATCCAGAGGATGATCGATGAGTGAGTTTCATCAAACTTTCAGGCTTGTCGAAAACGTTAGAAAAATTCTTTTTTCGCGTAAGGTCAACGTTTTTGAAAACTGTAATCATGGCAATAGCGAACTGAAATTAAAATGTGTACGTATTATCCGCTCATATTTACGTTCGTAAATTTCCGGCTGCAACCGTTTTTATGGAAGCAATTAGTTTCAATAGCTCTATAACTCCTCCGGGAGCTGCTTTGAAGCCTACGGTAGCCTCGTCTGGTTTGCGCATTGCTCGCAAAAAACCGGTTATTCATAGGAACAACAACTTACGCAGCTACGATTGTTAAGTTGAGAAGACAGCTGACAGTTGGGAAGAGAAAGTTTCGGAATATGTATGGAAATATTACAGCAAGTTCTAGCTTGCAATCTGTAGCAGGTTATTGTAGTGCCGGATTCAACTTATAAGAGTTGTTAGCTTCAAACAACTTAGTTAGTTTCTTACAAAGTTTTCGAGTGGCTATCAAAAAGCCTCTCTAGTACCGAAATAGCGCTTTAATTTGCCAAAAAGGCAAAAAAATATTAGGCTGTCCGGAAAATAATGTCGCATGGCAGAGTGATCACAGAAAACAGCGAATTGAGTATCATATGATAGAGAAAAGCGAGCTCTAAAAGACAGTTTACAAAACTCCGCGGAAATCTTGCTCTAGTTGAAGTTCGAATCCGAAATATATAAAATTTCAAACACCCGAAAAATCGTATTTCCGTCCACAGACATCTTAGACTCCATTCTGCCCAGGCACGTACTCTCCACATTAGACATTCACCTGTACCGTTTGTGGTATTTATTTTTCCATGGCTACAGTACGACAAACAAAATCAGGTCAAAAGTGCGAATATGTTGGGTTTTTTGGGGTTTTCGCAAGCATTTCGATTTTTCACGAAAACTAGAGCTTGTCTAAAGCTGAAAAAAACATGGTTAGACTTGCGAAGGTTCGCACTACAGAACCACTTTGAGAGAAGTTCAGGATTGCTCTAACAAAAATATGCCGAATTTCGTTTTCTCAATTTCAGCCATGGAAAAACCACGAAAACGTGCGTACGAGAGTCTAGTATGGTGAATCCATACGTGAGCAAGTTAGGGATTCCCAGGACTTTTCTGAGCGGAGATACGATTTTTTTCGTTTTTTAAGCTTTGGTGTCTTGTGGAATTTGGCTCCAAACTTCACGCAGATCAAACCTGGCGCGAAGGTTTGAGTTTCATTTTGTAGTGCTTGCTTTAATCTTTCGGTTGGTAACCCATTTACTCACTTTTCTACTCACCCTGCCGCGATATTGCATGATAAAATACGATGCGACATTATTTTCTGGACAGCCTAATATTTTGAACAGCTTTATAGTAAAAAGATTATCGAAATTTATCAAAAAGGTCATATTGCTCGTCAGTTTCTTCGCCAAATCATCCCTAATTTGAAGTAATTTTGATGTCATATCTATAGCTACCTCCTTAAACTCCTGTTATCAATAAGTGAATAAATCGCGATAATTTCACAGATATGCCCGCCTTCTTTTGAATGGGGAGACACACGTTCTTGCTGCCATTTCCAGTCTAAAAAATTACAAGTATTTTCTATTTCCTCTCGCGCCAAAGGTATCCATAGAATTGGAACTCTCGAAACTGCATTCACTAGAAGTTCAGGGAATTGTAATGAATTGCACCATAACTCTTTTCATATTCGGACCTTCAATTTGATATTTTTTGAGAACTAGGACACCTAAAAGGCTGCAAATTTGTAGTAGTAATTCTGAGTGTACAGGCTATGTAATTCTTGTGCGGAGGACACATGACTGATACGGGCAAAATTTGAAAATTTAGCGCATTATTTTCTCTTTGAAAAGATCGTATGTTTGGGCAAGGAAAGTAAAAGGAAGACAAGCAGCTATTCCAGAGATAAAAGTGTCTTGCAAAAACCTAAATCTTTAAGCCAAGTAAAAGCAAAAAATTTTCAAACTGGCTTCAGTTTTCAATTGTAAATGGAATGAAAATTTTAAATGGCGGTAGTGCTGGAGATGAGGCGAATTATTATCGAAATGAAAATCTTCTTGCACATCACTTGGCACATTTCCTTGCAGTAAAACCAGTTTCTGTGACTTTACCACCCGCAACATACATATCGAAGATTTTAGAAAAAGGACTTGTCCGACAAATGCTATATCCGCCATAAAAGAAAATGAATGTATCTATTGAATTCTGTAAAAGTGTAACACAATCATTCGTGGAAAATTTATTCCTGTAATCAAGAATATGTTCTACTTCTCGAATGTCACCGTCTACATCAACGCCGAGTACCGTCTTCAAAGAATACACCACCATCAATTGCACAATATTTCGGACAGATTCCGCGTTCTCCTGGTTGTCCAGGGGGTCCAGCAGGTCCTGGAGCTCCTGGATTTCCATCGGCTCCAGGTGGGCCATCCGGACCATTCGGACCCTTTGGACCTGGTTGTCCAGGAGCACCATCGCTTCCAGGTTGCCCCGGAGGTCCTGGTGGTCCCTGGGGTCCAGGTTCTCCTGGTGGTCCCGGTTCTCCAGGAATGAGTGGTTCTGACTGAGCTGGAATCCCCGGTTCTCCTGGTGCTCCGGGTGCTCCTGGATTGCCAGGTGGTCCTGGTGGGCCTTTCGGACCAGGTTCTCCTGGTGGTGCGTCTTGTCCTGGCAGTCCCGGTTGACCAGGTGGGCCCGCATCTCCTGGAAGTCCTGGTGGTCCCGGAGGCCCTGGTGGTCCCTGAGGACAGGGCTTGCACGGCGGAGGGGTGATTGGTTCACATGGTTGTTGTGGTGGTCTTCCTGGATTACCGGGTAGACCCGGTGCACCAGGTTTTCCTGGTCGACCAGGTTTTCCCGGAGTTCCCGCGGGACCGGGTGGGCCGGGGAGGCAACAAGCTTCGCAAGACCCCTGCTGTGCTGCTCCTGTTCCTCCTGTTACAGCAGCATCTCCATAGCCGGCTTGACGTGATGTGCGGTTCGCCACCGATGGAAGGCTCTTCAGACTGTGCACTTCGTTCCAAATATCTTTAGCAGAGCCCTGAAAAGGAATGAGTATGTAGGAAATGTCAGAGAAATGAAAATGCTGATAAAAAAGTGGTTTACCTTGCAAAAGTTGATCTCATTGTGCATGGTTCGTTTAACATGATGTACATAATTATAGACCATAGGCAGCGTGACGCATACGGAAAGAACAGCGACGACGGAGAAGGTGACGGCCGAATAGGCAACGAAACGGTAGGCTTTCACCCTTGTTTCGAGGTCCATGGCCGGTGCAACGCCTCCGCCTACTGTCCTCTTTTATAGGGCGTCGCGAAAGCCCGCCCAAGACCAGCTCCTGCGAGGAATTACAATGAAGATTGGCATTCAGAATAGCCACGTCAAAGTCAAATGAGCGTCATTGTGACGATCTGCAGGAGATCGAGCGCGGTGTGCGCGCACCCTAACGTGCTGCGCACTTTTTTGCCTTGATTCGGCAAAATTTCTAACTACAATCAGCTCACAGGTTGTGTACCATACCCGTCAAAACAGACTGAAGATCATAGTTTATTAATAACGTTGAAAAATTGATCCTAACGTTTCTCAGAAAGATCAGTCAAACCTCTTTTTGTTAGTAAATGTGAAAATCTGCTGGTTATAAGATGAGACATCGTAGTGTAATCCAAATTCATATTAAAGCCATCTTCAATAGATTACTTTGATTGCAACCACTTCCACGAAACCAGTAGGCATTACAGCGGTAGGGACAGATGTGCCCCAATTTGTGGTTCAGACGACTGGAACCTTACGATAAGACTGCAATTCTCATCCAAGCAGAGTGCCCGAGTATCTTAATCATGAATGGAAAAAATTATGTGGAACAAAATTTCTATAAAATTTTTTGGAGTGTGTCTTTCCAGCCGATTCTCTCGAAAAGATAAATTGGCAAATTTTGAGAAAAAATTATACGATTTCCGGCGGCGCTTGATGCAGAAATTGGTTTTGACAATCAAAGTGATGAAAAAAACTTGGCTTGTATTTTTTTCATGATTAAGGTCAAAACAATTTTGAAAGCTCTATGAAATCTGATTACAATTTTAATGTTGAAACTGTAAAAATACTGCAAACTAGATTTTCGAGCCGATAAAAATTTTTGTCGACTGAATATCTCTACGGACATTCATGACTTGCCGTATTATACTTCGACTTTTCAGTTTTAGTCTAAATGAGATTTGATAAATCAGTAAGTTAAGAAATACGATGTGGAAACGAATCTAGCATATGCCACAGAACACCGTGGTGCCCCTGTTTTGTACCACATTCACTTCTTTCAGGGCTCTTTTGCACATTTTCGAGACGAATTCTACGAAAAGTTTGGAATGTGATCTATATTTCAGACCTATACATTAGCCTAACATTTGTGGAATTGACCGTCAGTCGCATTATTATTATTCATTCATTCTTGCCTAACGGTTTTTACAAGCATTATACCATGATAATTCTGTTTAAGGCTTCAAATATTCTGTAAGGGACTGCATACGATGTTCCAATTTTTTTATATCAATGAGGGTTCTTCAGTTCTTTTACCAGTAAGCGACAGTTCCCTTCACCCAACTACCTTCTGCTTGGCCCTCAGAGTTTCATGCAGATCCAGTGAATTGACAGTAACTTAGAATTATTTTTTCAATGTACTCAGTTACTATTTCGTCGTGACTTCCGTTGAATTCCAAAAAGTCTTGCAAAGTTGTCGTTAGATGTTTTCTGATCGACCTTCACCTAACAGTGATGGCCTTGGGTTTGTGAAAAATTAAGAGACAGACAATAAGAAATCTTACTGAAATCTCTAATGAACTTCCTTTGCCCTCTAGAAGGTCAACGCCCATCTCTTGCTAAAATTTTTGGTAGCACGGAGCCTTTGCGCACCAACTTTTTGCACACCTTTTATGGGAACGAAGTGATAAAATGATATTGATAACTGCGAATTTGTCATTTTCAATGCAGCATCTATGGGAATCATGATTACTGTGAAGGTCAAGAAAGTTCGATCCTACCGTACTGGCACAGTAATATAAGCGCTTGTGTTGCCACTCAAGACGCGTTTCAAACTTTTTTACTCATCGTATAGATTCCGAGTCTTCTTTTTGAAAAAGTGCTATGACACAATTTTCCCCGCTCACCATTCACTATTCTTCATTTCTAAGTATTATTATTGTTGGGCCGGTCCACTCTTCGCATCATCAAATGACGATTGACGATGGAGTTTTTTTCCTCGACAACGGCCACATCTATTGTACTAATTCCCGGAGACGTCTGGTCAGGAATAATAAGAACTTTATCTACACACCTCATCTTTGTTGACATTGTTCCGCATGACCATTACGAAAATGATCGACAGAAACCCGTCAAAAACATCGGAATTGAATTCTCTGAGAAATAACGGTTTTGTGGACTCAAATGATATGAATCATCGTTTTTTACTGTTATTCTGTTTGCACCTGACAAAAAGAATGGATTGACGATGTGGAATGGAAAAAGTTGAGGTTGAAGTTAAGACCCGAATATGATTCTAGTTCCATGAGAGTGAATCGGAGCTAAACGAATCACGAGCAATGAATCTGCACTGTTCTATAGGACGCATGTAGTTCTTGGCAATAATCAGGGACAAGAAGCAACTCGGATTATCTACAAAATGAAGAGCCGCATGATTTTGAATGACAGATTACAGAACAGTGCAAAATTTTATTAATTCAAATTCAAGTTATGGGAATCAAAATTAGATTTTTGGTAGTGCATTTCAAGCTAATTATTAGGTTGTCCCGTAAGACTTTTCGTACCTGACTTTTCAGCAACATAAATCAGTTCTTTTTGAACTCCCAATAGAATGCGAGGTACCGTTCGACGGATCAAAGCAAACTTTACATGAAGGCTTTCAGAAGTTCACAAAAAGCTTAATCTGCAACAAGTTCCAAGCCAAAACAAAAAAATTTCCGAATTTCCAAAAAAAAAACGAAAATCGTCATATCTCAGTTCAGAATGACTCTGCAGATTTCCCACTATCTCAATGCAATTCCCTTATCGGATATCCACATATGCACTTGCTGCATTTTTCTGATGGCTAGAAATCAAGAAAAAATAATGCGCTAAATTTTCAAACTTTGCCTGTATCAGTTCTGTGTCCTGAAAATAGGTGATTGTACAGCTTATTCACTCAGACCTATTGCCACAAACTTGCAGCCTACCAAGTGCCCTAGTTCTTGAAAAATATCGAGTTGAATGTTCGAGTATGAATAGACTTATGGGACAACCTAATATATCTCTTCAGAACTAAAAAATCGCGATAGCGTTAGGTTGGAACATAAGTCTTGCACGTGAATTTTTTAAAATTCCGTAGTCTCCACTAGGTTCAATAAGTACGTTTAGGATAATATAATCTTTAGTGAGGAAACCTTACCCAGATATTTTCATCAAAAGTCACCATTGTTAAGTCGCGGCACCAGGACCTGTGCAGATATCTACTTGATTGGCGTTTTCAACCTTTTGATCTCCAAAAATGTTAAAAGCTCAAAATCTTCTAATCTTACTTTTTATTTAATTTTTATAATCTACGCTTTTTAATTAGATTGTGGTGTTAGTAAGTCTCAACGAAAAGTTGTAATTATGTTTATTTTCAAGTTCTGATGGAAAATTATTGTATACGAAAAATACTTTACAGATCATATGCACTGAATAAAATGCTAGTTAGACTGGAACGCTGCTTCGAGCATTTTTGAATAAGTTTTGTTATTAATAGAAATTCCTGAACTGTTTGGACAGCGCACTAGCCAATTTCTTTGCCGATTGTTGCAGCTGACCATGCTGCGAGAACTTCCGTCCTACTACGTATCAAATTTGACGAAAGCATGCATCATTGCGCATTATCGTCCGCAGGTTGTAATTCATTAGAAACAAGATTTATGAATGTGCCTTGTACTAGCTTCCCCTTACCATATTTGCAGAGCTCAGATAGCCAATATTAGCAGCAGCAGCCTGTTTTCAAGGAGTGATTATGAATTGCAAAGATTCTAGTAATGATAGCAAACAAAACTTTATAATCAAACAACTCTAAGAGATCCGGTAGTCTTTCGACATTTCTTACCAAAAACCAACAAAAGATCCGTGAAGTGTCATTATATAAGGACATGTGTATAGACTCCTACATGGGAAGTTGAACATTACACAGGAATTTTACCACTCGTTAGCTGATTTCAGAAAATAAAAGTTTTAGGACATCTGATAAATCATGTCCTAAAGTAGCAGCACTCTTGACATCATGATTTTATTTGATACTTTGACCGTTGTCCGAATTAGGTCCTAATGAAAGTCTTGTCATACCTTCTCCATTTGAAAATTTTAGAAACGCTTTAGCGAGGAAGGAACAAAGGGCTGTTCACTGGCATCGTCTTCACTTTCACTGATGTGTATTACAGAAATTATAGAAACGATTTGATAACAGTACTTCAACGTCCATTTTATATCCATTAAAAACCTCTTTATTCTTTGTTTTCTCCTTCTCAAATTTTCAAGGTCTGGAGAGCATCAGTGCAAACGAAAGCAGTTCGGATGTTAAGCTCTTCAATAGCGCAAGTTGGCAATTTGCCCAATCCAAATTTATGTGTGATACGTACATATCTAAGGGCTACAACATTCCACATAACTTGTAAAAGGAGAAACAAATTTCAAAAAGGTGTGAGAATTCAAGTAACAGATTTTTTGCGACCTACTATTAGAACAAGATTCCTTCGCCTAGTCACCATTCCATTAGTAATGTTATCTACAATGTCCTGCAATTCTTAGCTTCTTCGCCATTTTGTCGTTCTCCAAGAAACTTTATTTGTACAATCATCTATTGGATAGACGTATTGCAAGCAAAGCATATGTTTGCCTCTTTCCAGATCATTATCAAAAAAATGTTCATAAGTTCGAAATATAATTGCTATCCACAAAACGCTGAAGACAGCAGGCTCTTGGTTGCATGATTGCTTCGCTGCGCAGAAGATCCGGTGGGTCGCCGAGGTCTTATTTTGAGGTGCTCGCGTCTGTGAAGAACAGGTTGTTGCTGCCTTGACTCAGCAACCACTCTTTTCCGAAAAACGCGATAGCCAAGGACAAGTACGTCATTGAAGCCACAGCCACAAAGGCACGGACCTCTTCGACGACGGTGTAGGCTATATGAGAATTTCCGTCAAGGGCAATCCGAATAGGCAAAAAAAGAGCAATTAGAGACTATGAACTTCTTTTGCCTCTGAAAAATCGTAATCGGATTTTTCCGATCATGCCAATAACTTTCTGATTGCAAAAACTTTAAAGGAGCAAATGAAGGCGTATGCTGCAGTATCGAGG